CACATTTTCGGCTGAAATTGGGGTTTAAGTATACTTTTTAAATACATGTTTTTCTGCTGTTAATGCAAATAAGCATGCATTTTCCTTATACATCATTTAGCCACACATCCCTTTCATCCCAGTTTATTCCGCATTTTAGGGCCTGTCTAGAAGGGCCCTAATTTACCAATAATAACTTTTTTTTAGTGAGTCATATCTTCTCATGATGTGGCCAAAGTACATCAACCTCAGTTTAGTCTACTATGAAGAGTTCAGGCTTGATTTGTTCTAAGATCATTGATTTTTAAAAACAATCCATGGCATCTGTAAAGCTCTTCTCCAGTATCACATTTCAAATGGGATGGTTTTCTTCCCATTAGCTTTCTTCACTGTCCCGTTTTCCCCATCTTAAAGAAATTGGAAATGCAAAGGCATGGACCATCCTGATTTTAGTATTCATGATGCACCTTTTCACTTGAAACTCTTGTCTATTTCTTTCATAGCTGGCCTTCCAGGTCTTGTTCCTGTTATGTCTTGTCTGCAATCTCCATTCAGATTAATGCCTGAACCAAGGTATGGAATTTTTTTTAACTATTTCAAAGTCTTTGTTGTCTATTTCAACATTACGTCATTTATCTGTGGCCACTGTTTTTGTTTTCTTGATGTTCAAGTGTAAACTTGCATCTGCACCCTCTTCAGTAAATTCTTTGCTTGTTTCTGCTAGTAGTATAGTCATATATAGCATATCATCAATATAGCTTATCAGTCAATATAGCATATCATCAAATTACTGAACTTTCTTTCCACAATTTCCACAACCCTCTTCTCAGTCTAATCCTAATTTATGTATTACCATTTATACTCGAGTATAAGCTAACCCGAATAGTTTTACAACAAAAAACTGGGAAAATGTACTGAGTATAAGCCAAGGGTGGGAAATGCAGCAGGTACTGGTAAATTTCAAAATAAAAATATATACCAATACAATTACATTAATTGAGGCATTTTTGTTGTTCATTCGTTCAGTCGTCTCCGACTCTTCGTGACCTCATGGACCAGCCCACGCCAGCGCTCCCTGTCGGCCGTCACCACCCCCAGCTCCTTCAAGGTCAGTCCAGTCACTTCAAGGATGCCATCCATCCATCTTGCCCTTGGTCGGCCCCTCTTCCTTTTACCTTCCATTTTCCCCAGCATCATTGTCTTCTCTAAGCTTTCCTTTCTTCTCATGATGTGGCCAAAGTACTTCATCTTGGCCTCTACTATCCTTCCCTCCAATGAGCAGTCGGGCTTTATTTCCTGAAGCATGGACTGGTTGGATCTTCTCGCGGTCCAAGGCACTCTCAGAACTTTCCTCCAACACCACAGTTCAAAAGCATCTATCTTCCTTCGCTCAGCCTTCCCTAAGGTCCAGCTCTCACATCCGTAGGTGACTACAGGGAATACCATGGCTTTGACTATGCGGATCTTTGTTGCCAGTCTGATGTCTCTACTCTTTACTATTTTATCGAGACTGGACATTGCTCTCCTCCCAAGAAGTAAGCGTCTTCTGATTTCCTGGCCACAGTCTGCATCTGCAGTAATCTTTGCACCTAGAAATACAAAGTCTGTCACGGCCTCCACATTTTCTCCCTCTATTTTCCAGTTGTCAATCATTCTTGTTGCCATGATCTTGGTTTTTTTGATGTTTAGCTGCAACCCAGCTTTTGCGCTTTCTTCTTTCACCTTGATTAGAAGGCTCCTCAGCTCCTCCTCGCTTTCGGCCATCAGAGTGGTGTCATCTGCATATCTGAGGTTTTCATGTTTCTTCCAGCAATTTTCACCCCAGCCTTGCATTCATCAAGCCCCGCACATCACATTATGTGTTCTGCATACAAGTTGAATAGGTTCGGGGAGAGTATACAAGCCTGCCGTACGCCTTTCCCAATCCTGAACCAGTCTGTTGTTCCATGGTTAGTTCTTACTGTTGCTACTTGGTCCTTATACAGATTCCTCAGGAGAGAGACAAGGTGGCTTGGTATGCCCATCCCACCAAGAACTTGCCACAATTTATTATGATCCACACAGTCAAAGGCTTTAGAATAGTCAATGAAGCAGAAATAGATGTTTTTCTGAAACTCACTGCCTTTCTCCATTATCCAGCGGATATTGGCAATTTGGTCTCTCGTTCCTCTGCCTTTTCTAAACCCAGATTGTACATCTGGCAACTCCCACTCCATGTATTGCTGGAGTCTACTTTAAGATCATCTGGAGAGGCCCTGCTCTCGATCCCGCCTTCGTCACAAGTTCAGTTGGTGGGGACGAGAGACAGGGCCTTCTCAGTGGTGGGCCCTTGGCTATGGAACGCCCTCCCCAGGGATATTAGATCAGCCCCTTCCCTTTTAACATTTTGAAAGCAGGTCAAGACGTGGCTTTTTAAGCAAGCATTTGCAGACAAAATATAACAGACATGGAGAAAAACGGAACGACTCAACGATGTTATTGGATAACGCTTTTAACTAGGAGACTCAAATTGATATATGCTTTTATTGATATTGATTGTTTTACTTGGTTTTATATTTAAATTTATTGTTTTTACATTGTTTTTTATGTCTTTGATATTGACATATCAAAGACATAAAATGGGCTGAGAGGAGCGGTATATAAATGTAATAAATAAATAAAAAATAAATAAACCTTCTTCAATGTAAATGTGCTTACATATACTTCTAATAATAATAGAGTAAAATAATGGAAATGTAATAACAGTAATAATAGAGTTAAGTAATAAATGTAATAATAATAGAGTAAAATAATGGTAATGTAATAACAGCAATAATAGAGTTAAATAATAAATGTAATAATAAGAGAGTAAAATAATGTAAATGTAATAATAATAATAGAGTAAAATAATAAATGTAATAATAAGAGAGTAAAATAATAAATGTAACAAAAATAATAACAGAGTAAAATAATAACATTGACTTGAGTATAAGCGGAACGGGGCTTTTTCAGCCTAAAAAAGGGCTGAAAAACTCTGCTTCTACTCAGGTATATACGGTATATGTTCAGCATACAAATTAAACACATAGGGTGATCAAATGCAGCCTTGCCTGACCTCCTTGCCAATTCAAAACCATTCTGTTTCTCTATATTCTGTCCTAACAGTAGTCTCTTGTCCCGAGTACAGGTTATATTGCAATATACCAATTTCTTGAATAATAATCATGATCTCCACACAATCAAAGAATTTTATAGACTATAAAACACAGGCAGATTTTCTTCTGAAATTCTTTGGTGTGACATTCAGTTTACATTCAGTAAAGTGGGAGACAACCGGAAAGGAGGCAGAGCACGTTACAGGTGGATTGATTCAAGCAGGAAAGCCAACGCCCCGAGTCTGCAAAATCTGAGCATCAACGTTAATGACTGAAGATCTTGCAAGTCTTTCATTCATATGGTCATCATTCATTGAAACTGAATTGAAGGCAAGCAATGCGAATAATACTTTGGTATTTCCAGATGGGCATCTCCTGGCAGTATCATGTAGCTCTTCCGCTTTCCCTTCTTAATAGAGTTGTTGTTCTCATAAAGAGAAAATGCAGTGGGAAAATCCTGAAAAGGTTTTGATCATCTGGAATTCCCCTTTAAAAAGGCAGCAGAGTAAAAATTCCCAGTTTCAGAAAAAAAAAAATCCCACCCAGTGATTAAAGGGCAAGTTTCTTCCATCTCAAAGGTTGGAATGGGGGGTTGTTGGACTGTAACTCCCACGATCCCTCACCCCTTGAATATAGTGGTTAGGACTGGTGAGAGTTACAGTTAGCTACTAGAAGGCTGGACAGTTTACACCTCATCTGCTCATTCAGTATCTGTCTATCCATCTATCTATTTATCTCCTGATGGACAGATGTTATGAGAGCCAATAGGGCAATGTGTTGCTGTGTTTTGAAATGTGTAATGTAGCTTTCAAAGTGTGTTTGTATGTTTAAAATGTTATGCTATGTGCCGATAGAATTCCTGTGTGGAAAGGGTTAACTGTATCATGAAGAGAAATGGCATTCCTAGAGGGGTCATAAAACTTAGTACAGAGAGCAATAGACATAGTGTAGTGCATTGTATGTCATACATCATTCTGGAATGCAGGAGGTGTGGACTAATGCTGATAACATGTTCAGTAGTATGCGATGTCACTGCCGATGGAGAAGGAAGCAAGTTTCACGATCTGCTTAGCTTCTAATGAAAATAGTTGAATAATAAATTAGCTTATAGCCTAAGGCAGTGTTTCTCACCCTTCCTAATGCCGCGACCCCTTAATACCGTTCCTCATGTTGTGGTGATCCCAACCATTAAATTATTTTAGTTGCTACTTCATCACTGTAATTTTGCTACTATGTAAATATCTAATATGCAGGATGGATTTTCATTCACTGCACCAAATTTGGCACAAATACCTGATATGCCCACATTTGAAGACTGGTGGGGTTGGGGGGGGGGTTGATTTTGTCATTTGGGAGTTGTAGTTCCTGGGATGTATAGTTCACCTACAATCAAAGGGCATTCTAAACCCCACCAATGATAGAATTGGGCCAATCTTCCCATGACCAACAGAAAGTATTGGAAGAGTTTGGTGGGCATTGACCTTGAGTTTTGGAGTGTTAGTCCACCTAGACAAGAGAGCAGGAGGAGGGCTTTGGTGGGAGGATTTGCTTTCTGTTTCCAAAAAGGAAGAGAAGGACAGGTGGAGAGATGTCAGCCTTCTCTGTCAAAGGGTTTTCTAAGACCATCAGAAATATGTGTTTCCTGGTTTTTGGTAGGTAAAGGATGGTCTTTGGTGACCCCTCTTAAACCTCCTCGCGACCCCCTCAGGGGTCCTGACCCCCAGGTTGAGAAACACTGGCCTAAGCTGTGCCTTGCTGTGCCAGAGATACCAACAATACAATGGTTATATGGGTTAGTTTTACAAAGGTGAACTGGTTCTCCATTAAGTAATGGATAATCTCCCCACTCCAACCTCCCCCACCCAAATAAAACAAAACCACACATAATTTGTATTATTTAAAGTCCTGCTTTATTGAAGTGACCAGTTGACCATGGCAAAGGCACCGTGTGCCCACCACCATCTCAGCTCCACAGCCGTTTACATTCATTTGAAGAACAAGAGACCAGGATACCGCAAAAGCAATTCCTCTGTAGACTGACTCACAACTGCCAGTAATAAAAGAATAAAATGGAAAGCACAGATCCAGAGACAAACGCCATTGTGCAAAACCTGTTTTTGCACACATATAGGTGCACAGGGCTTGTGCGTAGCCTGCATTAAAAAAAATTCCAGAAAATTTTGTGTCCAAATTTTGAGAAAAGTTGGATTTCGTAAGCCAGGTGAACTGAGCAAGTTTGCATAACTGTTCAGACTTTGCATAACATTGTGACTGTTTTGCATAATATATTCTGGTTTCACTAATCTTGGGAGGACCAGAGGGGGAACTAGGCAAGGGAACCTCCCTACACAGGAGGTATCCACTGGGATTACTTTACCAAGCATTGCTCACAGGCACAAAGTTTCAGGAGGGCCAGAAGGCTGCATATGAGGAAGAACAAGAAAAGGAAAAAGATGCAGAATTCTGCAGACAATGTGTCATTCCATCCCTCCATTTTTGTAGAATCGTAGCATAGATGCAGCCCAACATTCACAACAAACACAGCAAAAGCAACAGCCTTGATCAAAGCGTGGATATACTTTAAAACACACTGTTTTCTGACTACACTCACATACAGGCAGTGAGTTAAACCTGAAGACCGACAGGTCGCAGGTTCGAATCCGGGGAGAGCGCGGATGAGCTCCCTCTGTCAGCTCCAGCTCCTCATGCGGGGACATGAGAGAAGCCTCCCACAAGGATGATAAAAACATCAATCCATCCGGGCATCCCCTGGGCAACGTCCTTGCAGACGGCCAATTCTCTCACACTAGAAGCAACTTGAAGTTTCTCAAGTCGCTCCTGACATGACAAAAAAAAATGGTTAACTTACAGGACAATCCTATTCAGAAACAAGTCCCACTGAATTCAGTGGGATTTATTCCTAGATAAGCATGTATGGTATTAAAACAAAGATTTCATAAATGCCAAGACTCTAGCTTTTGTGCAAGTCTTGAACTTGAAACCCTGCACAGTTTCAACTCCAAGGGGGGAGATATTGTTGAGGAAGGAAACATCCTGTTGGCATTTATTTATTAATTTTTCTGCACATGCTCAGAGATGCCAACTTCTTTGATATGATTTCACTGACCCCTGGTGAGGACGTGAGAGAAGCCTCCTACAAGGATGATAAAACATCAAAACATCCAGGCGTCCCCTGGGCAACGTCCTTGCAGACGGTCAATTCTCTCACACCAGAAGCGACTTGCAGTTTCTCAAGTCACTCCTGATATGACCAAAAAAAAAACAAAAAACTGAGCCCTGGTGCCAAAATTGAATTCAAGTCCTAAAATTGTGGAAATAAGCCTGGGCAGGCAAATGAACTCTCGGCATGCTGATACTGGGCAAATGCAGCCTAGTACATACATACGCTGCTCTGACTGCTCACATGCAGCGGCGTTAAGGCACACACAAATATACACACATACAGGTGCCAGAATTTGCACAAAGCACACACACATACACTCTCACACACAGAGCTGCTCCAACTTGATCCCACATCCCATGCAGTAACATCATGCCATCCCTTACATTGTGAATCCCTGGTGTGAGCCTATCCCAAAGCTTCCAGTTAGACATACATTTTTTCCATTTGCTCTCCCCCCCAAAAAAGTTGGAGAAGCAGCCAGAGGTGCTGCTTTGAGGATGAGGAGTTGTGAAGTGACAGATGAGGTACAGTCATGACACAATTTGACCTGGATTAACTGCAGAGCTTCCAATGTGTTCTGGCAGGATGAACTCCTAGAACTAGAGTTCCAAGACGGAAGAGGAAAGGATGGAAATTCTCCATCATCTTCTACCGTTTCAGTTAATCGTCAGACTTAACAGAGGATCCTTAAGGCAATGTTAGAGTCTCGGGTGATGCAAAATTATCTGGGACATCCTTTCTGCAGTTCAACCGAGGCCCTAGAAATGTCAGTGAGAGAGGCAGCTGGTGGGCTCTCCACTGTGGAGATACAGGATCCCAACTTGATACGGCTACTGTTGGAGGCATGTGTGTCCACTCCAGAGTAGATCTGGTTCTCCCTGGATTCTTAAGGCCCTGACATCCTAGGCAGGTAGGATCCTTGTGAGAAAGCTACAGCTCTCCAGTTTAATTTCAGAATTATAGCTGTGGAGTCACAAGGTGAGGAAGGGTTCTAGATACGATGGAGATCATTAGCAACCAGCAGGTGCCAGCCCTGATGTGCCCCATGGAACGGGGGCAAAAGGGATCGTATTTGACATGCTGTAAAATGCTCCAGATACAGCTCTTTACAGGACGCCTGTGAACGAGGAGCCGACTATGATGAAGTGGGGCAGAAGTCTTTCTTTGGTTATTGGTGTGGCCCTGACCGCATCGCTGTAAGATTGGTAGGGACATAGCATCACTGTTGTTGCCCAAGAGAACAGAGGAAAGCAGCAAAAAACCTGCTCTCAAAGTGGCAGTAGGTTTCAAAAGAGGCGGCCCCCGTCTTGCGTTCTCTCTCTGGCATGAGGTAATTCTGTTGGTGCCAAAGAGCTCTGCCACCAGGGCAGGGAGAACCAAAGAGCAGAAGAGGACAAGAAGCAAAGCCAGCACGCATACGGTGCCCCCTCCTGCCCGCTACGTGGGGTCCAGCTCAAAGACACTGTCATCGGTGGGCGAGGTGAAGAAGCAGGTCTGGCTGGAGGTGGGGCGACTGCTGCGGTTGAGCCCCAGGGACTTCTCAAAGTCCAGCAGCTGCCCCATGAAGTTGAAGTTGGGTGAGATGTTGGACTTCTTCCTCTTCACAAGGTCATAGGCATCGTTGAGGGAGAGGTTGAGCTTCTGCATGAGGTAGGCGACGGTGACGGTGACAGAGCGACTGATCCCCGCCAAGCAGTGCACCAGAATGCCACAGTTCCGAGACAGGGCTTCATCTGTGGACAAAGAGAGAATACAGCATGGAAGGAGGGGAGACACAAATTACACAGGCTGTGCTATGGACTGAGGCACATATATAGGTTGAAGACTAGAGAATGAAGGCACTCTGGGGTCTGAATTACTTTTCTATTGACCAGGGGTGGGATTTAGGTGCATCACTGGTACCTGTTCCTGTATGATTATGGATACTAGGTCGGGACAGACCTGGTTAGTACTTGGATGTAAACATTTTCAGAGGATGGAACTGGCAAAACTATTCTATGTATTCGTTGCCTCAGAAAATCTTATGAAATTCATCAGATCTCCATTAATTGGCAAGTGACCTGGAAGACACATACTGTATATGCACACATACATCACCATGTCCATTTTAAAAATGTGTGCACATTTGCAACACAAATATATCACATTTACATAACCTATATAGAGTTCTGATTTTCTTTGTGCAAAATGTGAGTAGATCAATAGGTACCGCTCCGGCGGGAAGGTAACGGCGCTCCATGCAGTCATGCTGGCCACATGACCTTGGAGGTGTCTACGGACAACGCTGGCTCTTCGGCTTAGAAATGGAGATGAGCACACCCCAGAGTCAGACATGACTGGACTTAATGTCAGGGGACTACCTTTACCTTTATATAGAGTTCTGATTTTCTTTGTGCAAAATCAGAACTCTGATTATATTGTCGAAGGCTTTCATGGCTGGAATCACTGGGTTGTTGTAGGTTTTTTCGGGCTATATGGCCATGTTCTAGAGGCATTCTGTCCTGACGTTTCGCCTGCATCTATGGCAAGCATCCTCAGAGGTAGTGAGAATGCTTGCCATAGATGCAGGTGAAACGTCAGGAGAGAATGCCTCTAGAACATGGCCATATAGCCCGAAAAAACCTACAACAACCCAACTCTGATTTTCTTTGTGCGAAATCAGAACTCCGGGGAGGCCCTGCTCTCGCTCCCGTCAACAGCACAGATGTGCCTGGCGGGGATGAGAGACAGGGCCTTCTTGGCTGTGGCCCCCCGCCTATGGAGCACACTCCCAAATGAGGTAAGATCTGCTCCCTCCCTCCTGGATTTTAGAAAAAAATTAAAATCATGGTTTTGGGACCAGGCCTTCGAGGAGTAGAAGTAAATGTATGCAGCATTTTGGAAAGACAATGACTGGAACGGCGATTTGACGGACGAGACTATTTTATTGTTTTAATGATTGTTTTATTGCTCATGAATGTATTTTTAATTTGATTTATGTCTAATTGTAGTGTATAATTGTAATTGTTTGTACTGGCATTGAATTTTGCCATTACTTATGTGTAGACTGCTTTGAGTCCCCCTCGGGGTGAGAAAAGCGGTATACAAATACTGTAAATAAATAAAAAAAAAATGGGTTGCCTTACTTTGCTCCATGGCACACATAGTCCTGTTTAGCAGACCACTGTTGATCTCTAGATGTACTTAGACTACACTTCCCATAGTAAAGTAAATGTCCCTTGACATTAAGTCCAGTCGTGTCCAACTGAGAGTTCGTGCTCATGTCCATTTCTAAGTCAAAGAGCTGGTGTTGTCTGTATTATTTATTATTTTATTTAGACCATTTCTACCCCGCCCTTCTCACCCCCGAGGAGGGACTCAGGGTGGCTAACACAGGCAGCTATTCAATGCCAACAGTATCAAAACAACAATATAAAACAGCAATATAAAATCCATTACATAAAAATTAAGAAGTGATATTAATTAAAATTACATAACCACATAGAACAGATCACAGAATCACAGGTCATAAAGCCATTTCCAATTTTCAAACAATCCTATTGTCCGAGTTCAGGGCCTAAAGTGCTGTTGTGCCCACTAGCCAAAGGCCTGGCTCCAAAACCACCTCTTTAGTTTTTTCCTAAAAGTAAGGAGGGAGGACGCCGATCTAATCTCGCTTGGGAGCGAATTCCATAAGCGGGGGTCACCACCAAGAAGGCCCTGTTCGTCGTGCCCACCAGACACCTCCAAGGTCATGTGGCCGGCATGGAGTGCCATTATCCTCCGCCAGAGTGTTACCTATTGTTCTACTCACATTTGCATGTTTTCAAACTGCTAGGTTGGCAGAAGCTGGGGCTAACAGCGAAAGCTCACCCACTCTCCAGATTCAAACCGGCAACCTTTCGGTCAGCAAGTTCAACAGCTCAGCGGTTTAACCCACTGCGCTACTGGGGGCTCCACACTTCCTGTAAGAGCAATACTTCTTATAAGACCAACAAAATGTAGCAATCCATGGTCGCCCACCCCTGCTCTACAGAGATTCCAATCCTATGAAGTAGAAGCCGAATTGGGAACCTGTTATAAAAGAGAATGAGAAATGCTTAAGATTTGTTTAAACCTGATCAAAAGCTGATATTTGATGCTGCATTTCCAAACAATAAAGGGAAAGCCTGGGCCTGCAGGCACTGGGACTATATGTACAAAAAAATTCTTTGAAACGGTGCCAAAGAAACACAAAAACATCAGATCAGAAGATGATGTGCTGCTGGCTCCTTTTCGGGTTGGGGTCCAGTTACCAAAGAGCCTGGATGTCGGGGAGGGGGGCAAAAGGAAGCAATCAAGCAGCAGAAAGACACAACAAAATGAGACTGAAGAAAAAGACCTAGTAAATATGTTCCGGGTTTTAAAGGTATATTGGACCCTCCCTTCAACATATCTTCAGCATTTTGATCAGATCCATGATCGTTTTGGGCAAACTCAGGACAAAGCCACTGCCCCGCTGATATAGAAGTGGTCCTTCAGTGACCAGGATGGTCAACAGACTATGGAATGGCATCCGAGAAATAAAATACAAAGAATTCTCTGTTCTGCTTTGGTTAGACCACACCTGGAATATTGTGTCCAATTCTAGGCACCACAATTCAAGAGAGATATTGACAAGCTGGAATGTGTCCAGAGGAGGACGACTAAAATGATCAAGGGTCTGGAGAACAAGCCCTATGAGGAGCGGCTTAAGGAGCTGGGCATGTTTAGCCTGAAGAAGAGAAGGCTGAGAGGAGATATGATAGCCATATGTGAGAGGAAGCCACAGGGAGGAGGGAGCAAGCTTGTTTTCTGCTTCCCTGGAGACTAGGACACGAAACAATGGCTTCAAACTACAAGAAAGGAGATTCCATCTGAACATGAGGAAGAACTTCCTGACTGTGAGAGCCGTTCAGCAGTGGAACTCTCTGCCCCAGAGTGTGGTGGAGGCTCCTTCTTTGGAAGCTTTTAAACAGAGGCTGGATGGCCATCTGTCAGGGGTGATTTGAACGCAATATTCCTGCTTCTTGGCAGGAATATTGGTTGGACTGGATGGCCCATGAGGTCTCTTCCAACTCTTTGATTCTATGATTCTATGAATTATAGCTGGACTTCAGTGCTGCAGGCAAATTACCAAATTACACAGAATTGTATGGTGTGGGGACCACCGTTTCCAGACAAGTGGAAGTCTAGGAGGGAGAGTAGGATATCAAATGTGCATTGTGTTCAGAAGAGTCGGGAGTCAGAAGGGCAAGGCTGTACATGTGACGTGATGGCGTCCTACCTCTGTGCCTTGTGTGGACCGCTGACCCACAGAACCAGGCGAAGAAGGGTTTCCTTTGTGAGCATTTCATCAGTCAAGCAAAGCTGAGACCTTTAGATTAATTATCCGCCTACTCACATTCCTACGGAAAGTTTATTTATAACATGGTAATGAGAGAGAAGAGGGGGGAGTGAGATGGGGAAATGCTTCTTGTAAGATGTTGTCTATTAGCTAATTTGTTAAAACACTTATGTAAAAATAGGGCAGCGTTAAGTTTTTTTTAATCCGCTGATTGAATTGGAAAAAGAACATTTGAAAAAATGAATCATTCATCTTGCCAATCTGTCATCTAAATATTGTAGATCTAGTTGTAAACTAATTTTATTTTATTTTATTTATTTACTATATTTATATACCGCCCCTCTCAGCCCAGAGGCGACTCGGAGCGGTTCGCAAATTGGCAACAATTCGATGCCTCAACAATTATAACAAGTAAAAACAATCAAGAAATTTTGTTTAAAACAATAGCATATGACACAAAAAATATATAAAAAAACATACAAAGCCTTAAAACATTATCGTGAGCATCTCCATGTCAAATCGTTATTCCATTGCATTATTAAGTAGTTCCATAATTCTATTTAGCTATTCCGTATTTGGGAAGACCTGCTCAAAAAGCCAGGTTTTCACCTTTAGTAATATTAAAGGTAAAGGTAAAGGTAGTCCCCTGACATTACGTCCAGTCATGTCTGACTCTGGGGTGTGGTGCTCATCTCCATTTCTAAGCCTAAGAGCCAGCGTTGTCCGTAGACACCTCCAAGGTCATGTGGCCGGCATGACTGCATGGAGAGCCGTTACCTTCCCGCCGGAGCGGTACCTATTGATCTACTCACATTTGCATGTTTTCGAACTGCTAGGTTGGCAGAAGCTAGGGCTGACAGCGGAAGCTCACGCCGCTCCTCGGAATCGAACCTGCAACCTTTCGATCAACAAGCTCAGCAGCTCAGTGCTTTAACCCACTGCGCCATATTGTACTACACCGGGATTGTGGCACAGCTGGCTGAGTGTCAGCTGCATTAAGATCACTCTGACCAAAAGGTCATGAGTTCGAAGCCAGCCTGGGTTGGAGTGGGTTTCCATCCAATTGTGTGTAGCCTGTTGTCGACCTTTGCAACCCGAAAGACAGTTGCATCTGTCAAGTAGGAAAATTAGGTACCACCTTAAAATGTGGGGAGGCTAAATTAACTGATTTATGAGGCCATAAAGAAGACTCCAGCAGAGCATTCCAGCGGGGAAGCATGCGGGGAATGCGGAAGTGCTTCATCAGCATTGCAGATGGACGATGAAAGCGACAGCTCCCCTGGCGGCCAGAAAAAGTTAAATAGCCTCTGTGTATGTCTGTACATGTTTGTATGTCAAAAATTGGCATTGAATGTTTGCCATATATGTGCACACTGTAATCCGCCCTGAGTCCCCTGCGGGGTGAGAAGGGCGGAATATAAAAGCTGTAAATAAATGTAAATAAATAATATAAAATAATTACAGTATTGTATTATTATGATTATATTTATTAGTAGTAGTATTATATTGTATTACATTACAATATTATAAATATTATTTGTATATACAATATATTATATTATATTATTAGTAAAGCACAGGAGACAAGATGGAACTGTCTTCAACGGTAGCGCCCCCCCCCCCTCTTCACTCTGGCCAGAGCAGCAGTTGGTGCCGGGGGTGGGGACGGGGGGCTCCCAACTGATCATATAGGGAGGAGACAAGATGGCTAGCCTGCCCCTGACCTCCAACCCACCCGTCGAAAGGTCCACAAGCTAAGGATAAATGTTGATAAATGTTGTAAACCTGCATGGTCCTCCGAGGACACAGTAAAAAAGTAGTTGCAAGGTGAAGAAAAAAACTCAAGAAAGACTCTCTTCTTGGAAATGGTGACTGAGGCCCCTTCCATAAAGGCCCCTTATCCCAGGATCTGATCCTAGGCTTTCTGCTTTAAAATGGATTATATGAGTCCACACTGCCAGATAATCTGGGATAAACAAAAAACCTGGGATCAGATCCTGGGATATAGGGCCAGTCTGGAAGGTCCCTGACAAGCAATGCAAAGCCTTGGGATTGGCTAAGTTAAGTCAGATATGTTATAGCTACTCCTTTGTGGATCAACTGATGCTTTGTTATGGCTGAAGTTCCCAAGTTCCAGCAACTCATTGCAGGTACTCTGAGATAAAAAGACATGCATAGATTCCCCCTGCCCCCCATACACTAAACCAGGGGTCCTCAAACTTTTTAACAGAGGGCCAGGTCACAGTCCCTCAAACTGTTGGAGGGCCAGATTATAATCTGGAAAAAAACCCATGAATGAATTCCTATGCACACTGCACATACCTTATTTGTAGTGCAAAACCCACTTAAAAACAATACAATAATTAAAATGAAGAACAATTTTAACAAATATAAGCTTATTAGTATTTCAGTGGGAAGTGACCACATTTCTGTGTAGAACCCACATGATCTCTTCGATCATCTGCAGAGGCCCTGCTCACGCTCCCATCTCCTTCGCAGGCGTGATTGGTGGGGACGAGGGAGAGGGCCTCGTCCCCACCAAGAGCACCTTCTCGGTGGTGGCCCCCCGACTCTGGAACTCACTTCCCAGGGACATTAGACATGCCCCAACGTTGGCAGTCTTTAGGAGGAGCCTGAAAACGTGGTTGTTCCAGTGTGCTTTCCCAGAATAAGGAGAACTCTCAGCAATATGTCCTCACAATGCACTTTAATACTGACTTAGGATGGACTGTGCTCCCTCATTTCTCTCCGAAAAATCCTATCCTAGTTATATGTTACCTTGTTCACATCAGCATATTTTCAATTTTAATCTATTACATTTGGCCCGGCCATTTTAAAAATTGTTTATGTCACTATTGACTGATTTTTGTTTATGTGATTTATATGATTTGTATTTTATTGATTGTTTATTGATGTTGTGTTTATTGATGTTTTGTTTGATGTACTTTGGGCTTGGCCTCATGTAAGCCGCACCGAGTCCCTTGGCAAGATGGTAGCGGGGTACAAATAAAGATTATTATTACTATTATTATTATTATTATTATTATTATTATTATTATTATTATATGTGGGCCTGCTTTTGGCTGATGAGATAGGATTGTTCTTGTGTGCTTTCAAGACTTAGGTTGACCCTGAACGAGGGCCAGGTAAATGACCTTGGAGGGCCTTATCCGGTCCCCAGGCCTTAGTTTGAGGACCCTTGCACTAAACTATAGGCAACATCGAGCAGCCTAAGACAGCCTGCCAATCGTGATGAAGACTAGGAGAAGCAGTTCAAAAACATCCAGAAGCATGCCAGTAGGAAATCTCAAAAACTCAGTCAAATGTAGTCATTTTGTTTTTGCACAATCCTCATCAAAAAGAAAAAAAGAAAACCAGACGTGATGTCACGTTGTACCCGTGTGATGTCTTTGGGACACATATGGGTGAGAAATAACCATTGTCCACCCTGTGTATGCCTAGTCTTGTTTTCAATGATACCACTGCTACTTAAATGTATGTTTACAGCCTATTTTGATAGGAAAGCCACTGTATGAAATCTTGTATGTTGTCAGACTCCAGTTCCCATCAGTCCCAGTCATACTGGTCAGTGGTGAGAGAAGATGGCAATAGCAAGGAGGCACGCTAGTGATCGATATATGGAGGGTCACTAAGATTTCACATAAGGGTAATTTTGATCAATACAGAACCTTGACAACTGAGGGTCTCGGCAATCTTCTTTCTAGTATTTATGGCATGAACATCGCCCTTCCAGCCATGTTTAGTTGCCACTCCTTGGTGGCGCCACTAGGGTTGATGTCTCCTACTGCAGTAACACATGGTGTCCTTCCCACTGGACCTCATCCCATAACCATTTATGCGGCAATACTGTAGCTACAGTAAAATACCATAGAAATTGACAAAATCAGTGACCAGCAAAACCAGCAGACACAACAGTGCATGCTTGCAAAGTGTGCATGCAAAACTACGCAAACTGAAGTGTCACTGTAACTGGGTAATAAAAACAGTGAAAATCATGTTTTTGTGGTTATAACCAATTTCAGGGATAGTTCTATACAAAAATACATTTCTACTGAAACACGGCACCAACATTTTATAGGTAGTAATTTTGTTGTCGCTCCTTCTGATGGTGTCACCTGCTGCGATTTGCACCGCCCTAATGACATTGCTGCAGCCGCTCCACCTCACTCACCAATGAATTCGATGGCCTCAGGGAAGAACTGGGAGAGATTCTGACTCCAGTGGTCCGAGATGGGGATCTGCTTGTAATGGAAGTCACCATTCTTCTCAAAGAGGTTGGGCAAGTTGGGTGTAACATTGAGGATGTAGCTGATGCCTAGCTTGGCCAAGGTGTCCATGTTAGCTGAGTCACGGGCACTGCCCAGGTACAGGTTGGGTAGAATCTGCACAGGAAAGGATGGGGGGCTGGCCCCTTCCGACTCCATGCCGCTGCTAAGGGGCTCCGACTCGGCATCCGAGCAATCCGAGCTGAGGCTCAGGCCCCCCAGGCCAACCACCGGGGCAGCGGGGGGCACAGGTGAGCTGCTGGCGATGGCAGCATCCAGGTTGGTCTCACAAAGATGTGGACACTCAGCTTGAAATTTATGGAAGCCTCCTACAGGAAAGACAAAGAGCCAGAATGAGTTGCATTGCTGTTGTGTGCATCTTGATACTAGAGGTTCTCACATGCGATCACAGATTTCTTCTTTTCCCACTCTCCAAATATTAGTTAGAGATTCTTCCAGTACTATTTCACACACCATAGACTGATAGTTATGTTTATTCATAGTTGTTGGTGCTGATATGTATCCTAGTATACCCTACCTTGTTCATGCCCAGCATTATTTTTTAAATTTTAAATTATTACATTTGGCCCAGCCATAGGTTTTTAAATGCTTGTATGTTATTGTTATTGTTTATTTTTGTTTATGAGATTTATTTTACTGTTTTGTATTGATTATTTTGTTATTGCCTTCATTTTATTGATGTACTGCGGGCTTGGCCTCATGTAAGCCCCACCGAGTCCCTTGGGGAGATGGTAGCGGGGAACAAATAAAGTATTATTATTATTATTATTATTATTATTATTATTATACTGAAATCATTCTTGTTAGATGAGCTATATAGAGAATTATTCTTCTAAGAAATGCTTAGAACAGTGGTTCTCAACCTGTGAGTCCCCAGATGTTTTGGCCTTCAACTCCCAGAAATCCTAACAGCTGGTAAACTTTAAATTTTAAATTATTACATTTGGCCCAGCCATAGGTTTTTAAATGCTTATATGTTATTGTTTATTTTTGTTTATGAGATTTATTTTACTGTTTTGTATTGATTATTTTGTTATTGCCATCGTTTTATTGATGTACTGCAGGCTTGGCCTCATGTAAGCCGCACCGAGTCCCTTGGGGAGATGGTAGCGGGGTACAAATATATTATTATTATTATTATTATTATTATTATTATTATTATTATTATAATACTGAAATCATTCTTGTTAGATGGGCTAAATAGAGAATTATTCTTCTAAGAAATGCTTAGAACAGTGGTTCTCAACCTGTGGGTCCCCAGGTGTTTTGGCCTTCAATTCCCAGAAATCCTAACAACTGGTAAACTGGCTGAGATTTCTGGGAGTTGGAGGGACCCACAAGTTGAGAACCATTGGCTTACAACAGGGGTCCTCAAACTTTTTAAACAGAGGGCCACGTCACAGTCCCTCAAACTGTTGGAGGGCCGGATTATAATGTGAAAACAACATGAATTAATTCTTATGCACACTGCACATATCTTATTTGTAGTGCAAAAAACACTTTAAAACATACAATAATTAAAATGAAGAACAACTTTAACAAATATAAACTTATTAATATTTCAATGGGAAGCGTGGGCCTGCTTTTGGCTGATGAGATAGGATTGTTGTTGTTGTTGTTGTTGTTGTGTGCTTTCAAGACATTTCTGACTTAGGTTGACCCTGAGCGAGGGCCGGGTAAATAACCTTGGAGGGCTGCATCCGGCCCCCGGGCCTTAGTTTGAGGACCCCTAGCTTAGAAGAACAGAATAATCACAGATGAAGAATAATCACAGAATGCCTCAAACCTACACCTGATGATAGACTCTACAAGCTAGCTGGCATTCCCCCCTCTCCCTTGCCCAATGTGCAACAGGAAGTTGCTACTAACTGGGAGAGAAATAAGATTGAACACTGTGAAAGCCACCCACTGCATGGCTAATCTAGACGAAGCGGATTTTTATATGTTGTGTGATGGTCTTGTTCCACTGTAAATTGTTGTCTTTTCTATGTTTTGTACACCGCCACGAGTCGCCTCCGGGCTGAGAGTGGCGGTTAACAAGTGCAAGTAATAAATAATAATAAATAATAATAATAAATATCGGCCTCCTCTCAGTAGACTTAAATCAAGGAAACGTTTCATGAGAACCACCACTTTCTCTTAATATTCTCCCAGCAATACCAAGGGCATTCCTTTGGGCAGCTAAATCAGGCAATTCCAACTGGATCCCCCCCGCCTCGTGAGGATCCTACTCCAAGGGCAAACCAAGAATGGGCAACTTGGAAGTCTATGAACAGACTCAGAAGTGGACTTGACAGAAGACAACCTGGCTAAATGGCACTACCTAGAAGAATCCTCCACCTTGTGTGACTATGGAGCAAAACAAACAACTCTGCATCTGAATGCTTGCCCACCATGTCCTCCCTCATGATATAGTGCAGGGGTCCACAAACTTTTTAAACAGAGGGAAAGGTCACAGTCCCTCAAACTGTTTGAGGCCAGATTATAATTTGGGAAAAAATGAATGAATTTCTATGCACACTACACATATCTTATACACAATACAATAATTAAAATGAAGAACAATTTTAACAAATATAAACTTATTAGTATTTCAATGGGAAGTGTGGGCCTGCTTTTGGCTGATGGGATAGGATTGTTGTTGTTGTCGTCGTTGCTTTCAAGTTGTTTCAGACTTAATTTGACCCTGAGTGAGGACCGGGTAAATGACATTGGAGGGCTGTATCCGGCCCACGGGCCTTAGTTTGAGGACCCCTAGCATAGAGGAAGAACTGTTTAATGCTACAGACAATGCGGTCGCTGTTGCCCGTTTTTGGTCTAAAGTTATTTAGCCACTTGTGTTCCATCTATTTAATCAGTTTTATACTAATTTATTTATGCAATGCTTTTGACATGAAATGAATAAAATTCTTCTAAGGACAGAAGCACTAAAAACCTTGGTGATTTGAGACTTGGTGTTCGAGAAATAGGCTAATCAATGAGCACATTGCAAAACTTCTTATCCTTTACAACAGTGGTTCTCAACCTTGCTAATGCTGTGACCCCTTAAAACAGTTCCTCGTGTTGTGGAGACCCCCCAACCATAAAATTATTTTCGTTGCTTCTTCATAACTGTAATTTTGCTCCTGTTATGAATTGTAATGTAAATAGCTATTATTCAGGATGTATTTTCATTCACTGGACCAAATTTGGCACACATACCCAATACACCGAAATTTGAATACTGGTGGGGTTGGGGGTGTTTTCTGATGGTCTTTGGTGACCCCCGACACCCTCTGGCGACCCCCCAGGGGTTCCGACTCCCAGGTTGAGAAACGCTGCTTTACAATAATTTGTTTCTCGTTTCAAGAAAATGGAGTTAAGAGCAAATGTGATAAGCTTCCTGTGCCCAAAGATTAATATCTATCCTTTGGCAAAATAAAACATTCAACTATTTGTGCAGAAGTCCCCCGTCGGCTCCTCCTTTGCAGGGGCTAAGGGTCACTGTCCATATGAAAATGGGAAGACCACAAACACAAATAAAAATTACGATTACAGACACTTTTTCTAAATCGGAGAGAACAATTCTCTAGGCATTTGTAGGTACTCCGGCGTGATTCTATGGTCATTTTCCTCCAGAAATTATAGAATTGTTTTGGAGGACCTTCAAATTAATAGAGAGAATATCTCTTTTGGGTGAACACGGAGTAAGTTTGTTTTGTGTTGATCCAGAGATAAAGACATAGCACAATGGATTAAAACTACAGGAAAACAGATTCTACCTAAACATTAGAAACAGCATCTTGAGAGCAAGAACTGCTTGACACTGGAATACAATGCCTCAGAATATGGCGGAGGTTTTGAAACAGAAACTGGGTGGTCATCTGTTGGGAGGGTTTTGTTTGTGTAATCTTAAATGGCAGAAGGGGTTGGACTGGATGGCACTTGGCATCTCTTCCATCTAAGCGCCCCTGCAGAGTGAATCTTCTCACTCCCTTTAACATAAAATGGACCTAGAAAGGAAAACGAAACTGGTCTGTGCTGCACAAAGCCTCCTCCCAGGTTCCCTGGAAACCTACATGGCAGCTCATCATGGATTACATAACATTATGTCACACACAGCTCCTGTGCTTTGGGGCTTTTAAACTTTTTTTTTTAAACCAAGTGCCCTTGTCTTCAGTGTGTGGTGAAAGATGTAATGAAACCACAAATTGCAGCAGCAGGTAGCTTTGACCTTCTGGATGTTGTTTGTACTGAACTTCTTATCAGGCTATGCCATGCAGCCAGCCATGTGCCATGTGATCTCCGGCATAGAGTGTCTACACTACACTACAGCCAATGCTTCATCCTTGGCTACTGCACCTGGCTGTGCAGGAGCCGAGGATGAAACGTCCTTCTTGGTATGTGGCCCCATATTTCTCTGTATGTGGCAACATGCGGCCGCGTATCATCAAAAAATGGCTATGAGTGTCAGTGCTGACACGCATGTCATAGGTTCACCATTATGGCTCTAAGGCATTTCCACATGTTCCTTAGCTGTTTTTGGTCAGCTTGGTATATACATACATAATGAGATGTCCTGGAGAGGGACCCAAGTCTAAACGTCAAATTAATATATGTTTACACTAGGCATGAAATAGGGACAACATATTTTTATATTTATACATTCTTTTAGATATATTATATACTAGCCATTCCCTGCCACATGTTGCTCTGGCCCAGTCTGGTGATCTGGAAAATAAAGTAATGAGAAGGTATTGGTTTCTAATATATGTAATTTCTTTATCCTTGTGGGTAAACAGTATTTCTTGTTGTTTCTTTGTCAGTGTTGATGTGGAGAGTATCTGGTTTGCCTGCTCTGGAATATGCAACATACAATTGTCCTTCTTTAGGGGTCCCTTTCAAATCTATACTATATCTGCGTGTGTGTGAATCTATCTATATTTATGACTGGATGGCTCATTGTCAGGAGGGTTTCAATTACATTTTCTTGGACTGGATAGCCTTAAGTATTTTCTGTTGGTCGTGCGGGTTCAGTGTGGGAAGTTTGCCCCAATTCTGTCGCTGGTGGGGTTCAGCATGCTCTTTGATTGTAGGTGAACTATAAATCTCAGTAACTACAACTCCCAAATGTCAAGGTCTATTTCCCCCAACTCGATCTGTGTTCATATTTGGGCATATGGAATATTTGTGCCAAGTTTGGTCCAGGTCCAACATTGTTTGAGTGCACAGTACTCTCTGGATGTAGGCGAACAACAATTCCCAAACTCAAGGTCAATGCCCACCAACCCCTTCTAGTGTTTTCTGTTGGTCATGGGAGTCCTGTGTG